GTAAAAAGTTACTAAATAACTTATAGGGGTATTTGATTTTTATTTTTTTTTTCATAAACCTTTTGACTTTCAATAAGGCTGCAAGCAATCATTATCAGAGTTGGAAATTAAAAGATTGAAAATTATACAAATCAGGAAAAAAGATGGTGAGCAAAATCTAAAGAACTGATGTTCGAGGAAAAAAACTAGGCAAATAAGATTTTTTGGACCACTAAGGAACAGTCACAGTAAAGGTACTTAATTGAATGTAACACAAGAATGAATCTTAGTAGATGACACAAGAGAGGCTAGCTCTTTAGAGCAGTGCCTATTATAGTATTTATAGAAAAGAGAAACAACGATGTGACAATGGTTGAAGGTTGGCTGCAAGAGTAGATACAACTATGTTTACAATGCGTTTTGTCTAAAAAAGAAAGGACATAGAGATAAAGAATAGAATCCAAAATAAGAAAGTGACAAGCACGATAAAGAGATGCAACCTTGCTTACATTATACATAGTACATTACTGTTCTTAAATATAAGAAGATCAAGATTACTGCAGTCAAAGTTTTATTTGACTTAAAGTTCACCAGCCAAGAATAATTCAACTTTGAGGAACCCTTGAAGTTTTTGGAAAAGAAGAAGAATGCTGTCCATTGAGGACAACTTTTATACTTCGATCGGTAATGAAGAATTCAATAATCTTAAAAATGATACTTGATACGCTATAAGAAGAGAGCTTATGGAGAAGACCAGCGTGCCAAACTTTATCAAAGGCTTTAGAAATGTTGAGAACGCTAGCTCTTTACCCCTCCACATCTGTCTAACGTACAATAATACCTATCAATTATTATCGTTAACAAATCAGCTGTAGAACGAGAAGATCAAAATCCATATTGATGATCTAAAAGTAAGTTATTAGATTCAAGATGAGAGATTAAGTGTTTGTTAACTAAGGAATCAAAAACCTTGCTTATGATTGCTGGAATTTTCGAAAATAGGGATAACAGATGCTGCTTTTCAGCAGACAGGAAACTCTGATACTTGTTAAATAGTTTTGAAAGTATAGATTCAGGAGAACACTTCTGCAAAACTATAACAGGTATGTTGTTTGGACTACAAGCTGTAGCAGAGTCTAAGCTGGAAATCCCTTTAATTACAGAAGCAGGAGTGATTCAAATGTCAAGCAATCTATCTGTTTGATTCTCCAGAATTCTTGAGAGCCTAATTTTTTAGATAAAATACAAGATTTTGTGACCTGAGAACAGCGGGCATTAGTATTAGATAAAACATTTTTGCAATGGTTTCTAACAATAGTAAACAGACATGTTTGTCTTTTCTATTTTCTGGAAAATTCTTTTGGTGATAGATATCAAAGTAATGGTTTCTATTTGAAATTGCAGCAGCACAATGAGAAGAAAACCATTGAGAAGAGTAAGGCTGGCCTTGGAATCGTTGAGAGGGAATAAAAGTTCCATGCCAGCTTGAATTCAAAAAGTTATATAAAAAGCACATTTTTCAGCAGGAAGAAGAAAGATTTCTATCCAAGGGCCATTATGAAAGAAATTATGAAAAGAGTCCCAGTCAGCTTTTAGGTAATTGTAAGAGGTATAATGATTGAGGGATTCTGATAAAGAAAAAGCATGAGATAATAGTTTTAGAGAGATCAAACCCGATCAGAAGTACCTAAGGGTAAAATTTCCAACAACAATATTGGCTGAAGTATAAAGAAAAAGGGTTTGGTCGATTTGATCAGAAATAACATCAAAAAAAGTGCAGTCAAGATGAAGGAGAGAGATAAAGAACAAAGAGAAAGGCAATAAAGTGAAGTGGCGATAAATAAAAGCACAAAAAAGAATAATCAGGGGATTCAAACCTAGTTTCATGACAATTGGGTGAATACTTACAAATGTAAATGCACTGGTTAAACATGTGACTATTGGGGTCTTTATGAGTTAAAGGAAGATAACCATCAACAATAAGATTGCAAGATGAGACAGCTGAACTCAAATTAATCTCATAAAGAACAAGTAGGTCTGGTGGACTTTGCAAAAGATAAGACAGAAGATAAAACAGAAGAAATGTTGTTTTAAAGACCATGAATATTAGTGAATGGTAGATTTAGAGAATTTGGTGATGACGATGAAAGTTTACTCCTTAAAATTTTATGACGGTGGGATAGAGGCTCAAGCTTGGCAGATAGAGTGGGTCCAACTGCATTTACAATGCATTTTTGGTCCTTACCTAGAAGAGAAAGAACATCATTGTAATAACCAGTCCAAACTTGAGCAAATGGAGTCAGGAGTAAAAATATGGTGAGCACAATAATGAGAAGCAACCTTAGCAGATGTTAATTTAGCAATCTATTGAACCAAGCCATTCAGTGTGATGAGCATTTAACTCATTAATAACAATAATATTGGAAGAGGAGTAAAAAGAAAGGGCATGTTCAATTTGATCAGAAATTACATTTACAATTACAGCAAAGAGTAAGGTGACAGAGTGAGAGAGGGGCTAAGCAGAATCACATTTAAGAATGATCAAAGGATTTAAACCTGATTTCTCAACAATAAAATAGGTGAACTGATGCATAAGTATACCCCCAAGAAAAGCATGTGGTTGTTAGAATCTTTGCTTTTTTAAAATCTATTTTAAATTAAAGGGTTGTACCCATCTATTCTGAGGCCTGAAGAATAATAAAACAGCCAAATTTAAATTAGTCAAAGAGTAAGCAAGTCAAGTAAGTGAGTTTATTAGCGGTAATATTCAACTGATGGAAACTTACTATAGAGACATAAAATATTTGTAAAAGATTAAAACAGTTAGGTAGTGGGGATGGTTTTTTATGATTAATCTTTTTAATTACTTTGGGTGTAGTTTAAGTTTAAAAAGAACTTAATTCAGTCATAGATAAAGCATAGCACAGCAAGCAATGAGCTATGCAGTTGTCTCAGTCCTGTTAAGTAACCCAAAGATGTAACTTAGGACTTCTTATGTGACCTTGACAATGTACATCAAAAGCATTAACAGGAACACCATTCATGGTCAACATGGCATTGTTAATGCATTTGTATTTTACAGCTGATGATGATGTTAGTCTCTCTGAGAGCTACCACAGAGTTCAAGAAACCTTGCTACCAGCCAGCCTCTGAACCATTAAAGTAAGCTTTAGAGCTGCACTCTGCTACTGGTATCATCTACTTGATACCAGTAGTAGGGTGATTGTGATGATCCTGAACCTGGCCTGACTTGGTGAAGTTAAAAGAAGTTACTTTCTGTAAGCAGTACTTTAAAAAATTAATTGGAATTATTGGAAATGCATTGGAAAAACATTACATTTAACAAACTAATAGAGATTAAAGTAAGCGTAGGTTTTATAGTTGAAGTCACTAGTTAGTTACTAAGCTCACAATGCATTAGAGATATAAACAGAATACAAACTTAAAGTAACTTACAGGTGAGTGAAAAGCGTGCCAGAGGTTCAGGGAGAACACAAGCATACATAAAGTAATTTACAGGTGAATGAATTCAGCAAAAGAGCTTCAGACAAAACGCAAACTTACATATAGTAATAAATAGTAACTTATGGGTGAGTAAACATACATATTGTAACATACGGTTGAGTGAACATTTTATATATATATATATATATATATATATATATATATATATATATATATATATATATATATATATATATATATATATATATATATATATATATATATATATATATATATATATATATAGATATAGATATAGATATATAGATATATAGATATATAGATATATAGATATATAGATATATAGATATATAGATATATATATATAGATATATATATATAGATATATATATATATATATATATATATATATATATATATATATATATCTATATATATATATATATATATATATATATATACTCTTGCATGTCTCTTGCGTGGCATCAAAAAATATTTCCCATAAACTGTAGTTTTAAAGAGCGCGTTAATAAACCAGACCAGAAAAAGTTTTAAAAATTAAATTTTTTTTTTTAATTGATAGACTGCCTGGCCAAACCAAACCCTCAGTCGATGTAGCAGCATTCCCTTGCGAGTCAGGCTATTTGTCAGTCGATGTAGCAGCACTCCGTTGCCAGTCAGGCTATTTGTCAGTCGATTTAGCAGCACTCCGTTGCGAGTCAGGCTATTTGTCAGTCGATGTAGCAGCACTCCATTGCGAGTCAGGCTATAAGATAGTCGATGTAGCAACGTTTACGCATGTTTTAAAAATGTTTTTTTATTAAATCAATAACAAAAACACCACTAATTAAAAAAAACTTTCTAGTCGTTATAATTGCGGTTTTTTAAAAATTTTTTAAAAAACAATTAAATTTAATGTACTTCCGCATAAATTAATTGCTTTGACATTTCGATGACAATAAAAAACAGCTTAAGAGACGAGGTAATTAAAATTGTAGTCGTAAGAGCCTTTTTTTACATTAAAACGCTCTTTCGACTACATTATAAGGGTATATATATATATATATATATATATATAGATATAGATATAGATATAGATATAGATATAGATATAGATATATATATACATAGATATATAGATATATGGGTATATGTATATACTGCATATAAGATTGACACAATACTAATAGATTTTGCTTTATTGCACAACAATGTGCTCAAAAGTTAATTTATTTAAAAAGTATAAAAAAACAAGATATCTATTTAATTATGCAAAACTTACACTGATATGATAATGAAATGATAAATTCAAATTCTTAAGGGAAAATCATAACCCAATCGTAAAGTCTAAAACAAATTTTAAATAAAATTTAAAGATGCAAGTAAGACAAGGTAAAAATATTTTAATGTAATTTGAATTTATTTTTAATGAAACTCATGTTGAGTTTTCAATGTATTTTTTATTCTTTTAAACTTTTTACACTAATGATTTTAATTATATGTTACCTAATTTTGTGTATTTAATTTTGCATACAACCTTACTGAATCCTTATTAGGACTAATGGGTAAAAAATTAGCTGCTCCACCACCAGCAGCACAATCAGTGTCACTATTTGGATCAAATAAATCTAGTTTAATGTTTTCAAGGAACTCTTGTTTTTCAGGTAAAAGTTTACAATAGAAGTTTATAAAATAATTCATTTTTGTGTAATTTATTACACTTTTAATATATGGTATTTTTATTGTGTACACACATTTAATCAATACGCAGCGTTCAGTGTATTGATTAAATAAAAAAGCGGTGTTTATAGGGGGCAAGTTTAGATTAGAATCCAATAACAAAAAAGTAAAATTTAAACTCAAACTTGTTTGTTACTTGTTTTTAGATGATTTAGGAATGCCAAAAAGAGAAGAACATAGTTTGGATTTATGTGGTAATTTATACTTAATTCAATGTTGTCAATGAAATCTTGTTTTTCAGATGAATTTTACTTTATTTTTAATATATGGAATTTTTGTTCTGTACACACATTGGTGTATTCTATTGGTAATGATTAAATAAAAAAGTGGTGTTCATATGGGAAAGGTTTAGATTAAAATCCAATAACATAAAGTTATAAAAAGTAAAGTTAAAATACTAAACTGTTTGTTACTTTTTTGTAGATGATTTAGAGATGTTGGCAGATGAGAAATTAAGTTTGGATTATAGGCGTAAGTTCCACTTTACATTTTTTTACTTTAGTTAAAAAAGTATAAGAATTAAAAAAAATAGTAAAATGCTACTAAGCATATATATATATATATATATATATATATATATATATATATATATATATATATATATATATATATATATATATATAAACATTTCAACAACATTTATATACATATATATATCAACATTTAAAATATATATATATATATGTCTTTTTTAAATGTTGACATCGATATATCATCTATTTTATTTGTAATAATATTTTAAGATAAAACTTCTTTTTATGGATTAATTTCTGTTTCTATTTATAAATGTATTTATTTTTATGATATTTCGAGGGAATATTAATACCCTCATTATCAAGTATATTAAAAACCGTTAAAAAAAAAAAAACGCTATATTATACAAAACCATTTAAATTTATGAAACAACCTTCTTTGTAAGAGCTTTTTTGTTAAGGGTTGTTTAAGAGAGTTTTTTGTGACATAAGTATCTAACATGGGTTTCCAAAACAACGTTGTCGCCAAATCACCATTATCTCGATTAAGACCATTGTCGAAAATGTACTTTCGTTGTGTTGTAATTCCAACACTTCCCTAACTTTCCTATTTAAATATTTGTTTCTGTTTTTAAGGTATTGCGACCATTCCAGTAGAAATTTTCTTTTTAAATTTTGGAATGTTTAGTAACAGCTGAATTTTCCCCTTTACCTTGTTGTGCACTTGTTTGATGCTGGCATATCCGAGACAATATCTTTAGTCCAGTTTCACCAACATAACATTTGTCACAAAAGCTCTTATTTGTAAACACCAAGATAGGAATTAACTGGTAGTGTAGGTTTATTTTTAGAACTTAGTAGATTTTGGAGATTTTTTGCAGACTTAAACACTGGTGCGTATCCTGCTTTTTTAAAAACTTTTCTTAACTTGGGACTGGTTCCAGGGATACAGGGTAAAGACACAAATCTTTTTGGAGACATTAGGAAATGTTGATTTTTCATGAGATCTTTTTTGTTGTTAACACTTTCTTTTGTAGACAAACAAAAGTATCAATAACTAGTTTTTCCAGACTTTTCCTCTCATAGCTGTTTTCTATAAATATATCGATAAGAAACAACAACTCATCATCAATGTTGTTTATTGTGCTCTATGGACGAAACCAATAAAGACACCATTGATAATTTTAGGGTCATGACAGGAGTTCAGTTTAATTTGAACGTTTGTAATTGCATTTTTGCAATGTATTTTAAAACTGTATGTACCGGTTTTATTGTTGGTAACTAAAACATCAAGATAGTTTAATGTATTGGTTAAATCGGCAGATTCCATTAGGTATTGAAAACTTTTGTTTTGTTTGTTAAGTAGATCTAAAAACTTTTGCGCATCTTCTTATGCCCAATCTTTTTAGATCTACTTAATTATATATACATATATATATATATATATATATATATATATATATATATATATATATATATATATATATATATATATATATATATATATATATAATATATATATATATATATATATATATATATAGTTAGTATATATATACTATATATATAGTTAGTATATATATACTATATATAGCAGGCTATATATAGTATGCATATATAGTATATATATATAGTATATATATATATATGCATATATATATATATATATATATATATATATATATATATATATATATATATATATATATATATATATATATATATATATATATATATAGCAGGCCTTGTTATGAGATTTTGTTGCATAACGGAAAAACGTAACGCTAGTAAATGTAGCTTTACTCAATAAACATAATTACATTGTTAAAAGTTTAATTATGTCACTTTTTAAAGTACTGTATTGTTATTAAATTTAATTTGAAACTATATTAAAAATCAATTAAAGTCTTTATCTTTATAAAATATTTTTGAAATGTCTTTAAATTAAACAATAATATTATTAAAAAAATTATCAATAAAATTTAAATATATATTATCAAAAAAATATATATGTATTTTAAAAACCTTGTACTTATAATAATAATAATAATTAATGCTGTTGAGATAAAGCGCCAGGCAATATCTATGACAGCTGGTATAAATTAATTAATGAACTAGTTAGTTCAGTCACTAAATTATAAAAACATTAATAATAAGCTTTTTTGGTTTTTATCTTGTTTGTTATTGCTTCAAAGTCAACCGATTGCAAGTTTAATTTGAAGCTTTTAACTCTAGTAGATTGAACAACTTCATTCTTTTTATCAAAGAACATCAATACAAGTAAAATACAAATGTTTCATTATCAATACAGTCCACATCCAACCAAGATGTGTTCCACAGAGTATTGTATCATTACAAGGTAAATGTAACACGGTAAGCCTTGAGAAGCCTGATTATTTATTTTTATTATTTTTATGACTTCAAGTGCAAAAATGGCTCCCGACTGTCTTGGATTGGAACTAAGAAAGAAAATTATTGGCGATTACGTAAGTGGAATGTCACAAAAAAGTATTTGTGATAAATATCGAGTGAAAAAATGGACAGTATCAGGACTATGTTCCTAATATTCAATTGTTTAAACAAATCCAAAAGGCCTGGGCAGCAATCCACAAAGTTTCATTGATCATCTGATCGAATCTATGCCTCGAAGATGCAAGGCTGTGATCAAAAACAAAGGATTTACCACGAAATATTGATATCAAAATACAACTTGGTCAACATTTTGTGGAGTTGCACTTGTTTTGTCCAGAAGGAAATCAACTTTTTTTTAATACTTTTGACTAATTTATTAATTTTTGTGTACAAATAATGAACTTTGTGATGAATAAAACTTGAAGAACGTTTTCTCTAAACAGTTACATAGTTATTTCTCTAAATTGAAAAAATGCATCACTTTTATATAAAGAAACTAAATTAGCATTATTTGGTTGCACTTGTTTTGTCCAATACTGCACATAAATATAAATAAAGAAAATAGTTGAATGTAAAACAAACATAAAAAAGTAACTAAAATTAAATTTCATAAAAAGAATTTTCTTTCCTTTAACATAGTTTTGAATTTTCAAATGTAAAAAAAAATTGTAAAATAGAGTATTTTAAATTTTTTCTATTATAATTTTAATTAAGTTTAATAAAATAAATTTAAATTATTAATATTTAAAATAATATAATAATATAATAAAAAGATGTATTAGTTCGAAAACTACGAGTGAAATTAATAGTAATTAATTTCACTTTGACAGCATATACATTGTGTAGTTACTCTAGGTAGATAAATTAAATTACAAATTACAAATCTTATAGCTCTAGATATTTATCAATACAAGTTTTGAGCTAGCTTCTTTCTGGTCCTGGAGATTTATATTCATTTAAGTAAAGAAGTTTTTCTTTAATTAGTTTCACAGTTATTATATTATCTATTATTGTCTCACAAGGGTAAGACAAAAAGTAGTTTTTTAGAATCAGTAAATTATTGGTATTCTCTCTGGTAAAGACTGATTTAAAGTGATCATTTACAATGTTAACTATTTGGTTAGATTCTTTAATTAGTTCATTATTTGATGTTAAATCTCTGATGGTATTATTTAAATTGTTTTTGCTTTCATGGGTTGATTTTCTTACAAGATTCTTTTTAAACAAGTGTTTTGCTTGTAGAACTTTATTCTTTAAGTCTTTGCACTTAAAGAATAAAGTTCTGCTTTGTATTTATATTTTAAATTTAGTGTATTGTTCTTTGAATATAAGTTTTACCATAGTGACCATTTGATACACACTAAATCTTTAATTTCTCGAGTGATCTAGGGAGATCTATTGGCATTATAAGTTCTACTTTGTTGTGGTATAAAAGATTCTATGATAACTGAGTAAATTAATATAGTTTATCATACATTTTGTCTGCACTTAAATACCTAAAATGCATTGTCCAGTTTTTCCTTCAACCACTCTAGTTATTTCAGAATAGTTTCCAATATCAAAATATTTATTTGATGTTTTACTTTAGCTTTTAGTTGATTCACTGTTGATGGCTAATTTCCATATTAATCTAGGATGCAGAGTCCCAAAAAGGACTCTGGATTTAAAATTCACAAAAAGATGGCTTCTTACTAGTTTTTGGTATCCAGGAGCTCTAAAAATATAAATAAGTTTATGGACTACTAATAGGAAAAAAATTAAGACTTTTAGGTAAGAAAAACAATCATTTTTTGAACCCGGAGTTTTTAAGTATAATGGTTGCAAGGTAGGGTAACTAAAGTCTTCTATCAATAACAAACCTGTATAGACTTTTTTATTAATTTCAATTTTAGCATTTTTTATTGCATTATTTAATTGTTTATTTAAAATTGAATTTCCTGGGCGGTATATGCATCCTGTTATTATTTTCTTTTTATATTTTACTATAGTTATCCATATTATCTCAAGATTTTGTTTAATATTTTGAAAATGTGACTTTATATTGCACAAAATCTTTTTTTATGTAGATAGCTATGCCACCATCTCGTCTTTCATTACTTCTGTCTTTTCGGTATAATAAATAGCTGTCTAAAAATGGTACCAAGTTGCTAGAAAACCACATTTCTGTCACTGCAATGATATCTATTTGATGTACTCTTATAGAAGCTTCAAATTTCAGCAGCTTGTTTTCCAAAGATGTAGCATTAGTGTACCAACATTTCAATTCATTACTTTTGTTGTTGCTGTAATACTTTAAATTTGACAACTTTGTTTTCTCTAATCCTATATCAAAAGGAAAAATCACTTTTCAAAGAATTTATTTAATTCATTTTGTTTAGTTTGCATTTGAAAATTTAATATTTTTTCTGCTTCAGTTTTGATCAGGACTGATGAACATGTTTCCGAATTTAAGCTTCCGTTTTAATTTTTTTGCTGCAGCTAATATTGCATTTCAATCAGGCTTATCTGGTAGTTCTAGGACAATTGGACCTGGTTTATCTGTTCGAGATTTCATTCTTTTAACGTGAGTAAGTTCAATTTTTTCCT